AACCCCTTGCTATGACCAGCAGACTCAAAATTATTATTATGACGCTGATGGCTTTGAACGCATACTCATTCCTTTCCATGTGGGATGCATTTAATAAAACTAAACGGAATGTGCATCATGGTAAGTTCGATCTGATTGATTTCATCGGACCTTTTCATATGCATATAATCGCTCGGAGACTATTTACTTACGATGTGAAACAAGCGGATCTTCTAAAAAAATCGTTTATAGAAATGTTATTCAACTTGTCTTCATGATAACACGCAGGGGCTTAACCAAGGGGGAAGCATTGGGTACACCTCCCCACCCCCCCCCCCTTTCGCCACAGCGCGCAAAAGCAGAAGATCCGCTGATTCGAGCTCATTCCTCAACTTTTTTACCCACTTTCTATCTGCGAATTGTAGCATTTAAACTAGAGTGCTTACACTATATCCATGAAATAGAATCTAAATATAGTTACTATCTAACAGTTTTTATTTAGTCACTATCACTCAACTGGAGCAGCTTTAGTAACAATACACAAAGGAGACCAAATACTCAAGACAATAGAAAGATAATACTTTGTGTATTGTTACTAAAGCTGTTCCAGTTGAGTGATARTGACTAATAGTCGCTAAATAAAAACTGTTAGGTAGTAACTATTTAGATTTTATTTCATGGACATAGTGTAAGCACTCTATTGCTCACCCTATTAGATTTTATTTTTTTGGTAAATACTTGGATCGAATTGTTAGAGTGCTCACACTAAATCCGTGAAACAAATATTAGTTTTTTGCACTAAATAGTGATAATTAAACAATAGAAAACAATGGATTCTGTATGAAATAGTACTAATCAGTACTATTTAATGTTCACGGTTTTAGTGCGTGCACTCTATACCACTTCTAACTTTGAAATAGATCAAATTTACTATGACGCACGTTCCGTTTAGTTTTGTTAAACGAGTCCCACGTGGAAAGAGTATGCGTTCGGACGACTGTTAGTTTTGGCATTTTTTTCCATTTCGATCCATTCTCTGTGCACCCACCCTGCAAGAACACGACCCCTAGTTACGACCCTGACAAAAGCCCTTCAATGGAAAACACCATGAAAGTGAGCCTCTTTTCGTGTGGGATTTAATTCAGCCCGTTTGGTGTGCTTGGATAAATGAAGCCCTTCGGGGGATTGAAAGCTCTGTATCACTAGGGAACAARACCCAGCGTCTCGGAATGTTAAAACGATTGGACGACTGAATTTTCGATGCTTTGCCTTTAATCAAAATCAAATAAAATCAGAAAAAAAACAAGTAGTCGGCCGCTTAGTCTCGCGCGGCTATTTCCTTTTTTCTCATCAGCGCTCTGATGGAAACTGAACGATACAAAAGCAGTGAAAAAAAACTCCAAACGCGCCTGCTACGCAGACTATTCTTCCCTTACCATCCATGACGTCTTATCTTTGCCTTCCTTTTCTCTTATCTTTTCTTTTCTTTTTTGGGAAGGGGGAGAGGGTCAGAAAAAAAACCTCTGCTCGAAGGGTAGTCTCCTGTGTGTTCGATCAGCCGTTTCAAGTTCCACAGGAAACCCATTTCTAATGAAGAATTCAATTATTCATGCAGTACGTCACAGCACGGGCCGTTGTCTGTCTGCGTTTCGGTATCGAAACGTCTTAGATAAATATTCTGAAGGATTCTGAAGTGCATTACTGTCAAGAAAAACTCCTGAAATGTGGAGAGTCAGTAGTGTCAAAACCGGCAGAAGATGCCTTCTTACACAGCACATCCTTCGTTGTGCGAGTTCCAGAACTTTTTGTTCGAGTCATGGAGAAAAAGTCATGGCTATCCGACGTGAAGACATTAATGTGTGGGAAAGAAGGTCACCTATATCTCCTGCTCACGTCTCTGAACTTGTAAACCGGGGAATCAAAGTTTTAGTACAGCCTTCTACAAGGAGGGCTTATACTATGGACGAGTATGAAAGAGCTGGGGCGATCATTACTGAAGATCTTTCGCCAGCATCGCTGATCATCGGAGTCAAAGCTGTTCCAGTTGATCTTCTTCTCCCAAACAAGACTTACGCATTTTTCTCTCACACGATCAAAGCGCAGGAAGCGAACATGCCTTTGTTGGATGCTATGCTAGACAAGGTAGGGAATATTATTATTATATCACTATTTATTTGGGGAGTATACTTTGAGTAGGATTTTGGGTCACCTTTCGTAGAAACCACGTGTGAGAAAAATGAATAGAACACTCTGAAGTTGAGCTTGTTGTGGAAAACTGCTGTGAACCACRAGGAACTGTGTGGTCTAGAATAATCTTGTTGCTTTGTTTTCTCGAATTARGTTCACAAAAAGATTTCCCAAGTTTACAAATTTCGACTTACTTTAGCAACATAAAAGCTTGATTTGAAAATCGCTAATGAGATGTTTTACTTGTACGTGGACCATGACGGGAAAAACACTTAACTTAATTAAACTTATAGTCTATTGAATTTTTTCAACAGAATATTCGCATTGTGGATTATGAAAAAATGATGGACGACACAGGACAACGAGTTTGTGCTTTTGGCAAGTTTGCTGGAGTTGGAGGTAAGTATTTGCATGGCATTTTCTTAGAGAAAAAAAAATAGTTGTGTCGACATATTGGTTTGGCATTTATGGAGGTGTGTACGAAGGTGTGTCGTAAAACACGTCTATCACTTAAAATATTATAGAAAACATTCGCTCACAATTTATTTTTTAACGCGATGATTAATAAGTTAATAACGAGAAATAAGAGCTTTGCAGAGATACATTATTAATTTTTGTTACTTGGGAAACCTTTTCTACTAACAGTTATTTATAAGGTGTTAAAAGTAAAGTACCTATACTGTATTTTAAGGCAGTTTAAAAAGAAACCACTTGGCTTGTAACATTTAAACTGCCTTATAGTTGTATTAGACTAATTTATGAGGTAATATATAAATCAATGAATAAATTCACTGACAAGAATCTAAAAAGGGGGAGAAAGGAGATTGGAAAATAGCAAGTTTGAAAGTTTATTTTTGAAGGAAAATCCTTTACTAGGGTTTGAGAGGTCAACTAAATGTTTCTGTAAGTTAGCTTTGAACGAGTTGTATGAGTAACTAGACTTTATTTAAATAGGTAATGAGTTCCACAATTGTGGGCCTTGAAATATGAATTGTGAATTTGTTTCAAACATATTTTGGAATTATTTAGGGAGTAATTTATTATGAAACAGGTACATAAATGTTCCAACAAAGAGATTTAAAGCTGAAGCTACACGGATTAGAGAGAAGTTGAAACAGAAGTGGAGATCCTAAGGTTTGATTCGTGGACCTAAAGCTCTGAAGGTCATGCACTAACCAACTGAGCTACGCCTTTACAATGTAAAACATTAATGTTAAAAAGAATGTTAAAATTAAAAAGACAATAATAAATATAGCATACTAAATATTTCTATATAACTATTTAAATTATAGACTTGTATAATGTTTAGAAATAAATGATAATTTAATTAATTTAATTTAATCTTAATGGAATAGAACTAACATGGAGCTACTCATTTGATTATTATACACAATTAACTAACGATCAGAGGAAAATCAATCTAAGCCCCATGTATAAAGGCACAATAATTGGTTATTGGCAATAAAAATTAGTATAAATACACAGATGATTATTGAAAATCTTGCTCACTGATTGGTTGAGCAACTCAGATTTTCACACAATAATCACCTCCAGCCATAATCCAAAATGGCAGCCAGCCGCTTTGTTGCTGTTCCTACTTTTAAGTATGTCTTTTATTTTCTTTTTTTGAAAGAATCACCTGAGCATTTATACTAAAACAATTATTCACCTCAGGCTCACTGAATATCGGAAATAATAACCTCAACTTCGTATCGGTTATTATTCCCCGATATTCACTTCGCCTTCGGCTAATAATCGTTAATTACCAGCACAGTATATATTATACAGCTATCAGACCCTGTACGGGGCTCTTTCGTTAGGTTTCCTCCACAGGCACTACCACTACATCCTATATTTATTTACAACATACAACACTCAACTCTCATGTTGATCCTTACGGAGGGAGGAATCCTTAGAGGGAGAAAACCCTCGTGGCAAGGGAGAGAACAAAACATCAAACAAACTTGAATCACATATGATCTAGTCTGAGCTGGGGCTTGAACCCGGACCACAATGGTGAGAGGCGAGCTGTAAACCACTATGCCACCCATGCTACCAACCAGTATATAAATTGTCTGTTGTTATATAGGTATGATAAATATTCTACATGGACTTGGTCTACGACTTCTTGCTTTGGGACATCACACTCCTTTCATGGTACGATTGAATTAAATACATAATATCCCGGACTTTGATATTTGATGTTTTAACCTATCCAATTTTGAACAATTTGTAAGTTATAAAGGGTCATTTGACGTTTGATTGCAACCTGCTAGTCTTCATCAGGTGATGGTGTAGACTGAATGGTGTGTCCCTTACAAACTGCTGGTTGGTTCATTTGTTTGTGCTGTGATGGATGATTGCTGGTTGTTTCGTCTCTGCCCAGAGTGTGTCCTTATAGTCTGTAACTATGCACTCTTCAGGGATTTCTATACCACTGTCCCTATTGATGTTATTAGGATGGAGTCAGATCTGAATGACTTGACTCCTTGTTCTTGACCTATACATTCAACATCATTCCAGCAAGGATAACGTCCAGTCTTGTGGGCATGTTTGGCTACTACAGAGCTTTACCGTTCAGCCTTATTCATATTCTATGTTCTATTGAAGAAATAGAAAACACTCGCACGTGCTGTGTGTGGTTATAAAGAATGAGGAGTTTGGCAGAACATGAGCATAGCTTCTCTACACTTCTCGAGTATTCTGCCAATTTCCAAGTGCTTTATAACTTCACACAGCACAGCAAGCATTTAGTTTTTTATTTCTTTTAGAAAATGTAAATTGTATATTGTATTTTGGATGCAAATGAAAAATGGGAAGTGCATGCACATGCTGTGTGCTCTCATAAAGCATGCGCTCCGGATCCCAACCAATCAGAATGCAAGATTTATGACGGTCATTTTATAAAGATGTTTGGTTAGTTACACACTTATTCAAAGCCATATATGAGTAACACTTTCTGATCTTTCTTAGTACATGGGTGCCACTCACAACTATAAGAGTAGTCGTGCTGCTAAGCTGGCTGCATATGAGTTGGGTGAAGATATCAAGTCTGGTAAACTTCCAAAGCATTTTGGAGCCTTATCTTTTGTATTTACTGGATCTGGAAATGTTTCTCAGGTAATAAAGAAGTTTGTGTGGTGTTATCCCTATTTTCATAAATAAATTTTTGACACTTAAAGTGCACCTAACCCCTGATATGATATATAAACCTTCATAACTTAAAGACATAACATTCAAATGAAGAAATATTTCACCATTCAACTATTGACATTATGTAGAATCAATACTGAAAGTATTGTATCAGGGGTTAGGTGCACTTTAATCCATTAGCTGGTACAAAATTTATTATGGTGCAAATACCTATCGGACCCAAGAGTGAGGGCAATTTACACACATCTCCTGGATGACTAATTTCTGTTCTGTTTTGTAAGACTGAATTAATTATTCATGATTTAACTTTTGGTTCTTTATAAATATGTGACAGGGAGCTCAAGAAATATTCAAGGAACTGCCGCACATGTATGTACATCCTCATGACTTGAAGAAAGCTGTAGAGGGAGGAGGTAAGCTGTAATTATAAGAAGCTTAGAAATGAATGAAAGAATATGAAAGAATGAATGGGAGGGAGGGAGGGAGGGAGGAAGGGAGGGAGGAAGGAAGGAATGAATGAATGAATGAATGATAATAATAATAATAATAATGGAAAGGAATGTGAAGGAAAGTAAGGATAAAGAATGGAAAAAAAAAATGGGAAGAAGGAAAGGTAAGGGAAAAATTTAAAAATAACTTAGAAATTTAGCAACTACATTTTCTATTGTCAGTGATCAAGTGATTTGTTTGCCTGACAATAATTAGTGAGGTAGAAACAGTTATTTTTTAAACTGAACCATACAAATATTTACATGATATTTTTATATATCAGACCACAGGAAACTGATAGGCACAGTTGTGAGCAGAGAAGACTATCTAGTCCCTAAAGCTGGGGGAAAGTTTGATGCCGAGGAATATGAAGCACATCCTGAAAGATACAGATCCAATTTTGCTGAAGTTGTAAGTATTAATGATAAGATTTAACATGACAATGACAAAAAATGACAAAATATCCCATGATAAAAAGTAGAAATTACAGTCTCTTTAGTCACTGTTACGTCTCACCTTTGTGTGTTCACAGGCGGGCGAGGGGATAAGCCAGAATGAAAATAGCTGACATTTATTCAATATCAGCTTAGTGACACATTGAAAACTGCAGTAACTTCAATTATTTTCCATATTTAATATTAATTATGATTACTTCCGGCGCCTAACATGGCAGCCACATATTCTTTGTCTGTATATACGTTATTGTYYTTTATGGTTTGTCGCTGTTATGTAGTCCCTTTTTCTTATATTGATAATTATAACATTAATCGTCATTTGGATCTTGAAAGAAGTAAATCTCTGCACTTTGGTTTAGTGATTAATTCAGTGGTTTCAAGTTCATCTCCCTGGAATGTTTGTCAGTTAACTTCGTTTCGTCTCAAGTCTGGTTTCTACAAGTCTCGTATTGCCGTTGGAAAAATATCTAAGCATKGTTATACTTCATTATCTATTCCTGGTCATGATCCTCCAACTGATATTACTATTTCTATGGATATTCATCGTAATCCTGGCCCTTCTTCGTTTAACTCTGACCTCAAGACTACGGTTCAACGACTTCATATGGTTCATCACACAAATAATTATCATCGTTCATTGGATATGCCTCGTCTTTCTTTAC